ACTGTCTCTGGGAGACTACTTGGTGCAAAATGCCTCAAAAATCTTGACTTAGCTTCCCTAAAAGTTCATCGTTGTTTAAAGGTATCTGCATTTTGTTTTTTAATTCGATTCAGAAAACTATTGACCCCTTGAGATGATGGATATTTCCTCAATCTTTAAAAAATCAGGGATGAGATCAGGATTGGGAAACACGAGCACACCCTGGGGTCCATGGAGAAGCCCCAGGTGTGGGCACCTGATGGCTCAAATAAATACACAAGAAACCTAAATGCATCAGAGCCCCCTCTTCATTTCAGATGGAAGATCAGAGGTAAATCAATAGAATATGGGGAAAACCAGCATTTGTGAATTCCATGCCCTAATTAGGTTATTTTACCTATTCTATTAGTTTTCATATTTAGCAGTTAACTTATAATAAAAACAGTAATAAAAAGATTATAACACAAACATTTATACCAAGGGATTTTTTAAAACTCAATGCTTATTTTCTCTTGTTTAATAATAATCTTACGTGGCAAAAGAGCTGTCTGAGCTCATGTTGTTAAAGCATCCTGTTAGAAAGAATAAAGAAGCAATACCTGGCAAAGCAGCAATTCTGAATCAGCCAGAACCCTTGCAAACCTACCTGACTTCTTCAGACATCGAGCTCCTCTCCAGGGGCTCCAATAAATCACACGCACACCCCAGCTCAACAGCTAGAAGCACTCTGCAGGCCATGGGTCCATGGGAACACCCGGGGAGGATTGCTCATCAGTGTATCCTGGCAAAGACTCATCCTTATTCTGGTAGACTAACTGCAAAAATGCCCCCAATTCTTCCCCACCTTCTATCGTGCCTCTACGAGGTGACATTGTAGCTTCTTCCACTGAGGGGAGGGTCTATTTCCCTACCCCTTGAAAACAGTCTTGGACTTAGGGCTTTCTGCTTCAGCAGAAGTGACATTGAACCTCCTTGGGAACCCTGCCCCTGCCTTGGAAAACAAGGGACAGCCTGCTGGACGATGAGAAAGCACATGGAGCAGAGATGAGTCATCCCAGCTAAGACCCTCCTGGTCCTGCCATTCGCAGCTGACCATCAGCTCAAAGCAGACAAATGGGTGAATCCAGCCTCAATCAGTTGAGCCAGGCCACCCTGAGCAAAATGTCAACCGTTGCCTACACCCGTGAGGTTTCCTAATGCAGCATTACTGCAGCCAGAGGTGGCTGATACACTTGTATCAGAAACATGCAGGCCTCTCTACTGCTGCTGGTCAGTCGAAGAGGAAGAGGCAGAGTCATCTGTCATCCTGCTTGCACAAGGCCAGGGTTTTCAGGCCCGTCTCAGCTGACTGCCTTCTTTACCCCAGCCGCTTGGGCTCCCAGTCCAGTCTTCTGCTCCATCCGCCCTTCTCACCACATCTCAGAATGTGGGGATGCAACTAAACCATGCACACACTTCCAAAGAGCAGAGCAAACCTCTCCTTCATGCTCGCTGGCCCTCAGCAAGCACAGGGAAGCACGAGGCCAGAGTTTACTTTCCACCATAAACCAGAAAGGACCAGAGAATTCACTTTCTGTACTAATTAGCCCATTTCTATGCACATGCAGGCCATGAATACCATGGCCTGGTAAAAGCACAGAACCGGTCATGAATTCCAATAACCTGATTCTCATTTCAAGGAAATGTGATTCCAAAGTTTATAAATCTTTCTGTAGCATTCAAAAAACCAAAAATAAAAACAAATTTCTCAAGTAGATTTCAAGATAAAGTCCTGATCATAGGTATAAATCCATAGAACTTATTAAATTTATGCCCCTCAAGAGTAAAGGGTGACACCCCATAATGGGAGTGTGGTGTGGGCTTTGCTGAACTAAAGGAGCAGGTGGGTGGAGGGGCCTTTGGAAAATTTCACCGAGAGGCCCCAGGATTTCAATATGCAGGAGCAGAATGCCATCAGCAGAGGAGCACAATATTTTAAATTTAACACAATTGGGCCCAATCTGGTTTGAGACCTGACTGACGTTGAAGGTGCCGTCCTGTAACAATTAAAACAGAGCAAACACGTCCTTTGTTTTCACTGCTGTCTCCAGAGCCACCATGACTGTAAAGGTGAACCTCGGTGATAATAAGTGGAAGAGAAGAATTAAGAAAAAGAATTATGGCAGTTTTGACTGTCCCCAAATTAGAGGGAACAAAACAACCATCAATTCAAAGACATCTGGAGCACCCTTTGAAAGTTACTGGAGAATTATTTGACAATTATTTATACATCACATATTAAATCACGCAATGCTTTCAGAGCAGTAAATATTTTAGAAGGAAAAGGGTGTGCTGAGCCACACATCCAATATTCTACCCATCTCAAGAGGCAGGAAAGAGCACATTTTCTTAAACAAAACACATCTGATCCTCAGCTACCCAAACCCAATAGAATGCCTGTCAGCTCAGGTGGAAGCTCTTTTCTTAAACGACCAGAGATGAGCAGCTCAACACACACACCCCAGAAAATTTACAAAGGCTTTAGAGACATTTTCCTTCTAGGAAGCTGCTGTGGGTGGCTCTAAGAGCTGTCATTCTGTCATTAATGCAATTACTCCTCCAGTCCACCAAAGCTCTGGGGCCTTCTTTAAGTTTTTCACTGTCACTAATCATGATGTGCTTGTAGACCAGCCTCCAACAGGGTTCCTACCTCAGGGCCTTTGCACTTGCTGTTCCCTCTGCCTAAATGCTCTACATATCTGCTCGAATGTCACCTGCTCTCTCAAATGACTGTCCTATTTATAATTTCAGCCCTCAGTGACTGAACGCCTGGATTGCCCTTGCCCAGCGCTAGGTGCCTCCGGTTTACACAGGGGTAGTTGGAAAGGCCTCCCAGAGAAGGTGCCCTTAAAACAGGAACCTGAGGCCGTGAGGGAGCGAGCCATGTGACCACAGGGGAGGCTCAGCACAGCCGCAAGGTTGGACACCCATATGCTGAAACCACTGTTTCCCAATCTCCTATTTCTTAGCCAGCTACTCCAGGCAGACCTTGCAACACCTGGCCCATGTGGGGCTCCCCGGTCTTACCTCCCACATTCCCTCCTCTCCACGCCATACCATGACCAAACTGCACTGCCCTGTCACCATCTCCTTTGGCCATTCCGCCCTCCATAAGTCTCCCCTCACTGGACTCTCAGGATTGTCCTCAGCTCCCTGGCATCCATGACACCTTATCTCTTTAGAGTCCCTTCTCACAAAGGCCTCTGCTTAGAAGCACCAGCTACTCTTCCATTCTAAGTCTTCTCTCACTAAAAGGTTAAGATTCTCAAAGGCAGGGACTGTTGGATTCATCTCCAAGTCTCCTAAATTACCTAACCGGTGCACAGTAGGTCTGCAATAAGCACTCATGCAGTGGCTGACACTCCATTTTCCACAGGTTCATGCATTTGGACTCGGCCACACTTGCATTTCCAGGAAGACAAGGCTGACTGATCAGCAGCATCAAGAAGCTAATCGGGAGAATGGAGGCTCCTGCCTTCCCCCCTCAGACCACAGGACACAGGCCCTGCTCCTTGGGATCTGAAGATAAAGGAGCCGGGGGGGTCTCGCAGCATGGTCCCCATCATTATTTGATTGGGAACAGAGAGGAGGACACTCAAAGCAGAGTTACAAAGGGTGACAAGATGTTCTGTAATCAATGAAAGAAAAGCAGAGAGAAAAAGCCTCGGCTGGCAGAAGGGGAAAAAACAAATCTGGAAGAGCAGGTGGGAGGCGGGAGAGTGAGAAACAGGACAGGATGGTGATCAGGGACGCTGGGGCCAGGCCTTCCTAGAGCACTGTGTGTCTGTGGCATATCATGCTCACAACCCCAGCGGGGAATGAGCTGGCCTTACTTCACAGAAGAGGAAACTGAGGCAGAAAGATGCTGGGAGGCCAGAGCCCGCTCCCAGGTCATGGCCTTCCCTTGCCTGCTGAGGGAGGGGCTTTCCAACGTGACCTGGAAACTAAGTGTGCCAGGCTCAAGCCCGCTGGGATGGTTCATGTTGCAGTCAGTATTCTCAAATGCAGCTATTTCCAAACTTCTCATTTTTGCCTCTACAGGAAGCATACCTTAATAAAGCAGAGACCAGCGGTGCCTCAGGGTGGGGGCTGGGAAGGCCAGGACCTGCTCACACCCAACCCAGCCCACTGGAGACCACCAGGCTGCCCAGGACCCGGGCAGAGACCTCTTCCACCTGCGCCCTATGTGAGCTTTGTGGGGGGTCCTTTAAAGTGGGCCCCATACCTGACTCAGAAAGAGATTTCTCATACAAACATGAGCCCGAAAACTCACAGTTAGTTAAACTGAAAGTACAGCTTGAGAAACAGCTCCTTGAGCCTCAGGAAGGGCTCAAAGCCTAATCGCCTGTCAGCTAGGGCAGAGGGAGGACGGGAGAGCAGCCACTGCTGGTGTAGCAGCGACAGGAACTGCAGGGCACCAGGTGATGCCGCCCTTGGGACTCCACCTTGGGAGCCCTGACACTACAACAAGCACAGACCCTTCTTCCAAGTTCCAGTGCTGACTCAAGTTAGTACACGCAGAAAGTGGCACTTGCAGGCTTTCTATGTGCCTAAGCCCAGCCCAGATCACAGTCACCTCCCACTTTGCCCACCTCCCACGAAGATAAACCAAAGAGACAGGGTCACCGAGGTTCTCAATAAAAGCACATATTTCCTGCCAGCTGCGGGCTCCCCAGCAAAGCACATGCATTCCTGATCTGTGTTAGGCTGAGTCTGCAGATACCATGAGACCCCGGGGAATATGAAATCAGCTGAGAACACTGCCATTTGTCCACCGAGCACAGACTAATGGGGACTTGGCCACCGTGGTCATTCTGCAGTTTTTCCCTCGAAGTGCGTGGTGGGTTCTGTTCCATGAGCTGGTCCTTCTCGAGTCTTCTCAAGCCAACTTTTTCTTTCCTTTTCTAAATGGTTCTTGCTTTCTCTGAGTCTTGGCATACTAACGGACACCCCCGTGCCTCCCTACCCCCCACCTGCCCTACCCGGGTGGATGCCCGCCAGTCCGCTGCCTTCCCCAGGCTCTGCCGGGGGGGCGGGGGGCTGTCACTGGCGTTGACAGCGCAGACAGACAAGTCACAGATCACGCTGGCTGATAGCCGCGCGGGCCACCAGGCGCAGCGAGGGTGAAGGGAGGGGGACCAGGCGATCGGGGCTGGCGAGGGAGGGAACGAACTGTCGCTTCCAAATCCCGGTGACCCAGAAGCCGTCCTGCGCACCGGCTGTTAGGGCAAGGGCAGTGCAAGGGGCCGAGGGGACAAATGGGGCGCTGGACAGGAGGGGCTGTCCCTGCAGGCGCGGAGAAATGGTCAGAAGGGGGCTAGGTTGAAGAAACCCCACAAGAGGGGTCAACCCGGATTCCAGCGCTGGCCCTCAGGGGCAGGAGGACGCCGGGGGCGGTAAAACGAGGAGGGGATGAGATGGGGACGCGGGACTGGCGGCGTCTCCCGCCCGCGCTGCCACCTTGGGCAGAGCAAACTGCCCCCCACCCCCACCCCCACCCCGTGCCTGTCAGTCGGGGATGGACCGGCCACCCAGGCTCCCCACGGCGAGGGAAAGGCGCTTGGGGCGGCGGCTGACG